GGGACCCGGTCCCCGCGGGCTGCACGCGGTGAGGGTTGAAGGGTTTGCATCTCTTGGGGCGGCGGGAAGGGCTCCGGCCGCGCAGGGTGCGCGATGGCACCCGCGGGAGCTTCTCGTGTCCCCGGTTCAGCCCGGCACCCTGCCTGCCCCTGGCCTGGCGTTCCTTGGGCGGAGATCCGGGCTCGGCTTTGTGCTCACGCTTTTTGTGTTCCCGACTGCAGCTTAAGCATCAGCATGGGGATTCAGGGCCTGCTGCAGTTTATCAAGGATGCTTCTGAACCTACCCACGTGAAGAAATACAAAGGGCAGGCGGAAGCTGTGGACACTTACTGTTGGCTCCACAAAGGAGCTTACACTTGTGCTGAAAAGCTCGCCCGAGGAGAGCCAACAGATCTGTAAGTCTTTGTCACACTTTGGTCTCAGCCCTCTTACAAATTAAAGTTTTGTTAGTTTGATGTTTCTTGAGCTAAAAACTAAGTTAAAGCAGTTTCACTTCTTACTGTTGCTTCTGAATTCTCACTCTCAGTTGTACTTTTTGGAAATGGGAATGTTGGCTGTAAGGACTTAGTTTTTCAACACTACAAAATGAATATTGAAGTATATACTGGTGGAAAAAACTCTAAAATATTTTCTATTAAAACACTACGGTTAGGTGAGTTGTGTTTTTTCAGTATTTCTTACTCTCAACTGTAATCTAATGTCTCTGATGAGATTCTGTAGATGCAATTCATATGTTTCAAACTTAATGTTATTTTCAGGAACCGTATTTGTTTGATCATTTGTAAATACTGCTGTGGCAAAGGTTGTAATCATTCTGAGGAATTCTGATATGTTGTGATCTGAATAAGGTGAAAGGGTTTTTTTTTTTTTCTTAAGATACTATATTTTTAGTAAGAGTAGCTTTCCTAATGTAACACTGTCCTGGTTTCGGCTGGGATGGAGTTACCAATAAAAAAAACCATAAGAAACATGGAATTTTCACTTATGCAGTTGTATTCCTAAGGAAGCAAATGTGGTTGTATTTGCAGTTCATCTTTGAAGCTTCAATCAGATTTGCGTAAGTTCTTGCCCATCTCTGGAAAACTGGGTTGAACTCTTGTTTTAGATTGGCTATAGACTTAAATGAAGATTAATCCTTATCTTCTCAGAAATAAAGCTAAATCGATTAGTCTAGATGAAACTTCACTTATGAAATTTTGATTAAATGTTTGACTGGAAGCAAGAAAGTGTTGCTGTTTTGCAAATGGGTTCAAATCTTTAACTTCTGCTTCTGTTCACATGAAGAACTGTAGAGTTTTATCCAACCCTGCTACTTGCCTTTGAAGGTAGTCGAGATCCCTCAGAGTCCTGCGAATAGGGTACACTTAAGTGGAGAAAGAAGTTGACAGACAGGGGAAACATTAATATTCATAGAAAACTTTGGAATGTTTGAATTTAACTATATGAATATTTTACTACCAGGTCTTGTTTCCATGCATATATGGTTGCTCATCTTAGACTGGTGCTTTAACTATACTGTAGAGTGTCCTTTCACACTTTATAATTAACCTGAATTGAGGTATTATATATATACAATCCTATTTGCTCCTGTCTTTCAAAAAATCATAGTTATTTTTTGGTTTGTTTTGTAGCCCTAAACACGCTTTCTTCAGTGCTCATGTCCTTAGATTCTAAGTGCTCCTAGGTGCCACTCTCTCTCCCCTCCATGCCCTCTGCTGGAAAGGTTGTTCCTGTTTTTTTAAACAGTGTCCTTAAAAGGCAAAGGAGAAGCGACCTTGATTTTTTTTTTTTTTCAGTTGAGTGTCACTGTAATGCACTTGGTGTTTACAGCAGCTATTAGATTTTAGTTCTGTGCTGCTGATGAAATCATCTCATCGAGATCTGTAGACATAACAGGTAAGGAGATCAGAGGTCTGAGGGAACACATAAAGTCTGGAATTTCCTACAAGTATTTTACAAAGAGACGGACTAGGATGATTACCTCCTGGTTCACGCACGATCTTCACTGTTAGTACAGGTTGGGGAACTCTACTGTCTTTTGGAATATTTTCAGTAGGGTGCCTGTATTTTTGGTATGGGAAGATATGTTTGCATGTCTGTCCATAGCCTGTATCCACCATCTGGAGAGAAGAGTGGATAGCTCCACAAAGAGGGGTTTAATATCCTGTCACTCCTCCAGCTCTACAAAAGTGTATTTAGTCTGCCTTTCTCAAGGCTTTGGGGAAAGATAATGTACTGTGTTCATTGCCTCCCGTTTCCCTGGCCATTATGACTCAAGTTGCTGAAACTAAAAAGGTGATCCATGTTTTAACTTGTGAAATTTTTGGCAGTGTTGAATCCTAATATAGCAAAATCAAACTGAATTGTACTTGAGTTCTTATTTCATTTTCTGAAGGAGTAGACAGCAGTCAGTCCAGTTCTGAGTTGGGAGGTGGAGCATTTCTCTTGGGGGCAGGGGGGGACAGGATCAAAACCAAAAACCACCACCAAAACCAGCATTCAAGGGTTCTTACTCTTTCTGTGCTGCTGGGGAAATACATGGCCCATTTAGATCCTTGAACAATGGTTAGTCCTAACCTTACTGTTCTCCTTTCCTGCAAACAGAAAGTAGGCAATAGACTTGTGCTTAACAATAATGTTTGTCTTTTTTTTTTTTGTACTTTTGTTATTGTTGATACAGTTATGTCACTTTCTGTATGAAACTTGTTGATATGCTCCTCTCATTTGGGATTAAACCAATTTTGGTATTTGATGGATGCACCCTACCTTCTAAGAAGGAAGTAGAAAAAGCCCGACGAGAGTGAGTACTGAACTGTATTAATTTGCAAGTAAACCAGTGTGTTTAACACTGCAGTTCATTTTCAACGTTGAAAAACCTCAAATTTCAGCTAGGTAGTAATCTCTGGTAAACTTTTCCTACAATGTAATGTTATTTTATTTAATTCATGTTTAAAAATAATGCAAAACTCTTCTTAGAGGTTTTATTCCAAAAATAGAAACTCACTTCGTAAATGAAATCACTTTTATAGAGGAAGGAAGTAAACCTCTGAGCATTAGTTCCTGTAATGTATTAAAGGCTTTTAGCTTACTGGCCCTTGTGATCTCTGGACAAAAATATTTCTTCACAATATAATTTTATTTAAAAATAATACCACCTTTATCTTTCTCTACAAATAATCAGATAAACTTGTTTCAGGTTTGGATTCAGGTCCCTACATAATGGGACTTCTCACTGAAGCGGTGAGAATTTTTCACTAGTGGTTTTTATTTTTAAATTCTCCTGGCAGGTATGCTTCCTTCAGTGTTGAGTGAACAATTTCTGATATTTGAAATGCAGTAAATCATGCCTTCTGTCCTCTAAAACAAGAAGTATCTAATGTCAGAAACTCTAAAGTTCCATTAAATCTGTTTTACTGCAACCTGAGAGTGGGTGGATCCCTTTTCTTACACTGCTGATTTCAGTTCTTGAAAAAACATTATAAATTTCAACATGCCAATCTAATTGTCCATGTCAATATAATGACTCAGTTATGTTTTAAAAAATTATGCAGTAGAACAGATTTGAGAAGTGTTCATCTGCAAAATGTTGTTTTTGCCCCTTTTCTACCTGTCTCTTAGTCCCTTCTGCTGCTTGTTCTTTTTAGTGAAAAATAACCTGAGATTGGTGGATATTTTTGTTTATCTTTCAGGAAGCGTCAAGCCAATCTTCTGAAGGGGAAACAATTGTTGCAGGAAGGGAGATTGTCAGAAGCTAGGGAATGTTTTGGGCGCAGTGTAAATGTTACCCATGCTATGGCTCATGAAGTTATTAAAGTAAGTTGTCAATGCTGTTGATACAACAGGTTGTTTTTTTTTAACTCTACACAGTAGGTAGCATGTCTTACTCTGCTTTTGTACGGCTACATCGATACCTCTTCTTTGCAGGCAAGAAAAATATTCCCCCCTTCTTAGCCTCTACTTGTCCTGCATACATTGGATTATGTTACTGACAGTTAACAGAATTTAACTTCACTTCAAGTTTATTATGTCCAGTTGTATAAATAATAATGATGTGTCAGTTGAAATACATCTCTTCTTACTGTTATGAACTGACTTTGGTAACACTGACAGTTTTACTTTTGCCACACAAAAACTAAGCGCTTTATTTTTTTTTTTCCCTTCAGCTAGTTCCTGAGAATAGACTACAGAAAAAATTTTTCTGGCTTAAAAACCTTTCTAGTTGCTTTTTGCTATCCTTCCACTGCAGTCATATGATCTTTATCAAAATAGTATTACATTTGTTCTAGTGCTCTTTTCCTTTGTCAAGAGTATAACTTGCATGAGTTTGGGATTTGTGATCAGATGCAGTGAGCGTAATGTTACAGGCCAACACAGGAAAGGTTTTTGTAAACAAGTCTATGCAGGTCTAAACTACTTGCAACTTGAGTTTTGAACATGAACTATTGGGCTCTAATGGGGAGGGATGGGCATGTGATTAAAAAGATCACGGTTTCAGTTTTTTAAGGTAGAGGTTCTTATGCTTTCAGATGGCTTAAGGTAGTTACTGAAAATTGATGCAAAATACTCGTATGCTTCTTGTTTATGTACAGGCTGCACGAGCCCGGGGAGTTGATTGTATTGTTGCTCCATATGAAGCTGATGCTCAGCTGGCTTATCTTAATAAGACTGGCATGGTTCAAGCTATAATTACAGAAGACTCTGATCTTTTAGCTTTTGGATGTAAAAAGGTATGTAAGAAAATACTAATAGCCTTTATCTCTCGCTCATGTCTTTAAAGCAGAGTTTGAAGTTGCCAAATGTGTTTGATGTATGGATGTGCGCTTCTACAGTAAACTGGGGAAACGGAAGAGATGAGAATAGCACTCAGCCTCTGTTGTTTCCACTAAGTGCAACAAACTAGCTCATGTGGGTGAAAATTGTTGTTTTCACTTCCTCTTAATTTCCAGGTGTTTCTGAAAATTGACAAGTTTGGAAATGGACTAGAGATAGATCAAGCTCGACTAGGAAACTGCAAGCAACTTGGAAATGTATTTACAGAAGAGAAATTCCGCTACATGTGTATTCTTTCTGGTTGTGACTACCTCCCATCAATTCATGGAATTGGGTTAGCTAAAGCATGCAAGTTACTAAAATTAGCTAATAATCCCGATATTATAAAGGTAAACTTGGATTCACTTTGTGTGTTGTCTTTTTGTGAGCCTATATCAGTATATATGAAAGTAACACTGAATTGAAAATATGAGGGGTTCTTGACTTCCTCCATTTTGAGGAGAATGCTAGAAGAAGTATTTTTTTTACCTGTGCTGTAGAAAGATGCTGAGGTAAACCTACTGAACTGTTGAAGCTATTATATATTTAATGAAATACATTGCAGGACAATAAAGAATTATTCTTATCTTTCAGGAGGATATTCTGTTTGAGGAGAGAATTTTTTTTTGTAGGGCTCTGGATTTTTTTCCCCTCCTTACGTGCTCTTTCTTCTTTGTGCAGATTCGTTATTAGAACTGCTAATTGAACTTTGTTATTTTTGCATAAGTACACTTTTATCTGTGTGAGGGAAGGGCAGGGATTAGGAATCTTATTTGATTCCCTTTTTGCGTTTAATTACATACATGTGGATACAGACACATATTAAAATCATTATGGAAGAAAAGTTTGGTATGGTACAAAAAGAAAAATAAGGTAGAATTTTTTTCCTTCCAATGTATGAAATGAAAACAAATCTAATATTAGGAAATACAGAGGCTAAGAGAGTGGGAATAACTTCTGTGTAGATAATAAGGGATAAGAGGTTTTTAAGAGCTAGTAAGAAAAGTACCTTGTGTGGCTGTCCTGGAGGCAGGTAAATCTAATCTAGAAAAGCATTTAAATATGCAATCTAATTAACTTACTGTATTATCTTCTTTCTTAAGTTACTTTTATGCTGTAGTGTTGGTTTTTTTTTTTTTTTTCCTCTCACGGGCTGTACACAAAGAATGATGATTTATAGTTTTAAAATGTTCTGTATTACGTAAAGCAGGCATCAAAGCAGCTGTTTTGTTTGGGTTTTGTGGAAATGAAAAGAGAACTTTGAACTTTTCCTATACAAATCATGATTTCCTTTAATGTATGTCTTTTGAGCAAAATGTCAGGATTTAATAATTTGGAAAATTTTTCACATAGTAATTGTTCATGTGATTCATCACTGCTATTTTCCAACAGTGCTGGAAAGTCATGAGTGAGTCAAAAGATATAGAGTAGTCTAACAGTGCCTGTTCAACCTCTTGCTTCTGAAAGAGATAAGTAAACTTGCCTGTGTTTAGGATGTATGGCCAAAACACAACTGATGTTGTATCTGGAGAGAAGGAGAAACTCTTGCTTCTAGCACCGTGATAAACTTGGTCTTCAAAAGAGCATAATCTACATTCTGTGAAACTGAAAAATGTAGAGGTCAATGAATTATTAACTTATTTTAGAGTGGTACAGTATCAATATAGGAGGAGATACCAGATCAATATGTAGTCTTTTGTGATGGTTCATGGAGCAGGAAGAGAAATCTGATTATTTTTGCTTTTTCCTATCCTAAAAACATCCATATATTGGTTATGTGTTCTGATAATATGAATGATAAAATTTGAAATGCATTAGTTTTAACAAAGATACCTTAAGGAAATGCTCTGTATTTCTATTCAGATTTTGTATTTATTGGACAAGAAGTACTTACAAAGAGTTGAATTGTATTAGGTATGCAATTGCAAACAGCTTGAGAGTGGGAAAATAATGTAGAAAACTTTTCTTTCCCCTGTTTAAGTTGAATCTGCTTGTTGTAACAGGGACACGTATTCTACATTTAATTAAAAGCAAAGATACTTCATAAATGAAATGTATTTAACTTTTTGTGTAACCTGTTTAAATGAAACGGTTAAGCAATATTTTTTTTTTGACAGGTTATTAAGAAAATGGGGCAATACTTGAAGATGAATATAACTGTTCCAGAAGAATACATACAGGGCTTTACACGAGCCAACAATACATTCCTTTATCAGTTAGTTTTTGATCCTGTCAACAGAAAATTAGTTCCTCTGAATGCATATGGGGATGATATTGATCCAGAAACACTAATTTATGCAGGACGGTATCCTTTATGTTGAAACAGCAGAGGGGGGAGAATAAGGGTGAGCAGATGTGGTGTCTTAGACTTTTCATTGCATCTCTGCTGTTGACTAAAGCCTGGCTTTTCTGCAATCTTTGAGCTTTTCGTTGTTGTTTTCTCTTTTGCTCTGACTTCAGTTAATAAAAAAAAATGCGGGGGGTAACTGAGTGACCTATCATTGACATATTGTTGATTACTTTTTTTTTTTTTAGAAAACAACCTGTCAAATACAGGTTATATTTAGACTGTTAGAGTTGCTTTACAACTGTCTCTAGTTTCTGCCTGTGTTAACTGTGTTTTAATCTCTGATAGTTTAATTCTTGCAGTCTGTCTTCAACTCATTCTTTAATCTAAGCATTTCCTGTTTTACCAGATATCTCCTCATATAGAACAAGTAGCATTTTGGCACATTTGTGCAGCATAAATTTCAGCCTGGAAGATTAGGAAAATGAAGAAAGAGAGGGAACTGTTGAAGTAGTTACTAGCTTCGTATGTTCTTCAAGACACCTAATCTCTGGCATTTCCAGAAATTAGGAAGGAGAAAGATGGTAACCTTCCTGCTG